CCACCAGTGAGCCGTCGGCCACGGCCGATAGGACGGTGCGGCGAGCCAGCCACGACAGTCCGGGTGCAGCATCGAGACGAAGAGTGGGCTCGACATCTTCGGTCAGGACGCGCTTGAAGAAGCGTGTCTCCTTGAGCTGAGGAATCGGCGAGGGCGTTGAAGCAGCGCTGGTGGCAGTCACGTTCGCGGAAGCGTTGGGGGACTGCGGCGTGCTGGAGTTGCTGCTCTGGTTGAGGTTCGAGAAGGCGCTCAACGACGAGGCGGAGGCGTTTGAAAGGTGGGCGCTCGAGGTTGAGCCACCAAGTCCAATGAAACCGCCAATGGAGCCGGCAGAGACACGGCTTCCGGAGCGCTGATGGGAAAGGCGGGCAAGGGCGATGAAGTCATCGTACTCTGCGATATCGGTGCGCAAGACGGGCTGGATGAGGTGCGTAAAGCTGGTCGGGGGAGCCGGAGTCGATTGCGATTCAGCGTTGTGTCTCGAAGGGGACGGCGTCGGCTTCTCGAGAACGAGGTGAGAGTCGTCCTTTGATTCGAGGCCGGGGCTTGAGGGAGCCGTGTTATTGTTGTTGTTGTTGTTGTTGCTGGTCTGGTCATCGCGCTCCATGACCATAGTCTCGAGCACCTGCTTGAGCTCGGAAAGCTGCTCCTGTTGCGACTTGAGAAGGCTCTCGGAATCGGCGAGCTGTGCCTTGAGCTGATCATTCTTCTTGGTCAGAACATCATGCTGGAACTGAGCGTCCTCCTTAGCAGCAATGACCATCTTGTTTGCCTCCTCAAAGAGGGCAGTGGTCAGATTCTCCAGCTCCTGCTCGATTTTGCGCTTCTCCTTCTCTGTCTCTATTCGGCTTGTCGTCTCTTCGTCGAGTTTCCGTTGCATCGCCTTCTTCTCGGCCTGCCAGACTTTGCGCTCGTTTTCGAGCGTCGACCTGCGAATCCAGACATCGCCCGCCATCATCTCGCGCTGGGCGGCAAGTTGAGCCTCCAAATCGCGGATGCGTTCGTGCGATGTCTCCAGCTCGTGACGGGTTGCTGACAGGGTATCATCGAGTGCGGTCTGGTGGTTGATGGCGTTGATGAGCTTTGTGCTGAGCGTCGCAACTTCGTCGCTGAGGCCGGGATGCTGAGAAACGGTAGAAGCGTTATCGCCGTCACTGCTGATCAGATCCGGATGCGCAGTCGAGGGCCTTTGCCCGTTGCCCGCCGAGTTGGCGGCCTTCATCCGGGGATCGGGTAGTGTGCTCATCTCGTGGCTGGGGAAGTATGAGGCGGCCTTGGACGCGAATGATATTATGGGCAGTTGCGAGACTGACGGCGACTTGGGCGGCGGTCGAGGCCGGTATGATGATGATGACTCGTCGATGGAGCTCGCAGCTGTTGATATTGACCGGAGATGGCTGAGGGATCTGGCTGAAGATGGAAAGTGCTGAGACCAGCCGGCGACGTGGATAAAGCTGTGGAATAAGCTGTTAGTGGACTGTTCCATT